CATTGTATGGACTTGAGATGTGAACAATTAGTAAAAAAACAAATATATGATAGAAACTTTGGAGAATTAGTGTTGGAGAAAGATTCAGAGAATAAGCTGGACTGATAGTAGAACAAATAAAGCCGTTTTGAGGACAATAGATGAAAAACGATCATTGTTGATTCCTAGCTATGCTCTCCTCCTTAATAATGCATTGAATTCCCTCTAGTTATTGTTAGATAGAGTTTATTTCATCTAACATCTAGTTTATTGTCTTGATGAGTAGGTGAATAACCATACATTAGATAGTGCTTTATTTGTTGTGTTGGTAACTACTGTATTCAAATAAATTTCAATCTTATTAAGTTTTCTGACCCATTTTAAGTCAGCTGCCATACTGATAGTTATAGTTACAAATATTGTTTGATTGGCTCGTTCAAACCGTTTGCTCTTGGGTGGTATACAGCCACTATATGTTGTAACATACTGCTCAAACTTTTTAAATGTAAAGGCAGATCTCCTGTCTGTGGCTAGTTGCTTTGGCTGACCAAACATTAAATTGATCTTATCTAACTGTTTTATTACTAGTTTTGAAGAAATGGACCAATTTTATACTAAAACAGATACTAATTGTTTACTCCTTGGGAAGGATCCAAGATGATTACTATTAATAACCTTAAATGGGTGAGAACCTAAGATATAGGATGTAATTATGTAGGTATCTTGTTCCTAGGTTTCTTGAATAACATACTCTCGAGGCAAATTTAAATGCCTTTCTTTAAAGAAACGTAGATTGAAATTGTTTTGTGAAACTTATAACAATGGTTTACGTGATATCCTTGAATTAGTGTTATTAATAAATCGGTTATTAGCTGAAGTTAATGATCTTAAAATTCAAAAAAATGTCTATAATGGGTCCAAATATTCGATGTGAAATGAAGTGAGAGAAGTTTAAGAGCGTCAAATATAACATTATACAATGTTCCAGAGTCAAACTCTGATAACTCGGCGGATAGACAAGTACACGATTCTATTCGTGTGTGTGATGTTATCGATTGAGTTATTATTTGAAATAACAGCATTAAACCATTAAAAATTATTCTATAAATCGTAATCATAATAAAACTCATCTTATTAAGGCAATATTTGCTTCGTCAGCTAATATCTTTGATACCTCAAAATCTAAAAAAAATTATTATTTTTGCAACCGCCTTCAGTCATTCGTATTAGTTTAGACCATACAATACATCAAATAAATCATGTAAAAAAACTTCAAAATAATTTGGCATCTTGTAGAAATAACGAAGAAATTAATTTAATTATTAAGTATGTGAGAGGGATACCGGTAATCACTTCTAAGAATAAATATTCAGCTAATACCGGAGATTACTTACTGTTTTATTAAATGTAAACTATGATATAATTTATTTAAACGAAACGTATCTAAATAATAAGGTTTTTAATGCGGTTTTACTAACTATAATTTATACAGAGTGGATCATAATTTGTCTTATAAAAATCACGTGGTAGAGAGGTATTAATTGCTGTAATTAAAAAAATTTGTTGTAAATTATTAAATGTCTCTATAGTTAATAGTAGTTAATTAAACAAATATTTTTAAAATTAAATCTAAACCATATAAAAAAATATTAGACTATGTCTACATATCACTTACTACATACTACGCAAATTTATTCAAATCATTGTAATGCCATTGAGTCTATTTTTATACCTATTCTGATCATTATTTCATTATTTCTGGTGATTTTAATTTAAATTGTTTTGATTAGACTACTAACCCTAATACTTAAGAGAATATCACAGGGAGCATGATATTCTTATATAACTTTTATAAATTTAAAACAAATTAACTGTATTTAGAATAGTATAGTCGTACTTTTGATTATACGTGGCTTAGTACTGATGCAAAACTTACTTCTATTATTCGTTCATTTGAATCCAATTTATCAAAATTGATAAGTATCACCCTTCATTAGAACTTAATAAAAAAATGTAATAATTTGTCAGAGACTGTTTACATTGAGTCTCCTTGAGTATATAATTTGAAGAATATTTCTTGTTTTCTTTCAAGTATTGACTTTGAACTAAATTTAAGTAATTTATTTTTTAGAATATTTATTGAAAAGTTTTATGAAACTATTTATCACTCTTTTTTTATATTTGTTCCCACAACTAAAATTCATGGTAGTTACTCCGCATTTTGGGTAAATACTGGGCTTAGGAAACTTATTATTATTAAAAAATGTGCTAACAAAAATTATAAACTTAGCCCTTCCCATTAAAATTATCTTATATTTTCTAATCTTCAAAAAAAAAAAAATGCAAATTACTTATTTCTAACTGTTATTCTCGATATATTATTATTGAAGTTATCATCATTATTTCAAATTAATTTTTTGTAACTTCGGTTACGCATAATGGTTCGAACCTTGGCTCTCTTTTATTGATATTATTTATATATAATTTAGCTTCAATTTTTGATAATTAATTTGTTTGCTGATGACATTAAACTATTTTCTTGTATTAAATGTCCAGCTGATACCTTAAATTTTGATAGATATGTTACCTGGAGTTGACTTAATTATTTACCTCTTTATATAGTGTTATAATCGAATAATACAATTACTTTTAATAATAATATTTAATATATAATATCAATTTTCCTGAACTATTATCAATAATTGGTTTTACAATACCAAATTGTAGTTCAAGAAAATATACATTGTTTATTAATATTTTCATAAATAATTTTTTTATTTCCTTTTCTTTTTTTCTTTTTGGAACAAATTTTTTTTTTATTATTTTAATATGCCTTATCATACCAACAATTTTTTTCTTTGTGGTAAGACATTTTTCTACAGTTTTTACATTAAATGTTAATAAAAATATGTATTGATGTATTAGATTCTAATACAAATTTAAATGTATAGTCTTTTATTTGAAATTCTATGTTATAGTATTCGTTTCAACCTATGATCTTTAACTTCATAACACAATTTTATTAATATAGATGATACCATTGATAGTGTTAAAATTGAAATATTGTTAAGATATTGTGATGACCTTATTTAAAAAATGTAAACTCTCTGCTCTATACATTTCTCATTATTTACTACTCTTGAATTTTAATAATTTTATTAATTAAATGTGTACTATATTTCTGTTAAACTGCTTCTAGAGTAATATTTTTCATATACAAAACTCATTGTGCCCGACGTAGCTGATGATAATATGATGAAATGGGTGGTTAAAAGATTAGTAAACAGTGGCCACACATATAGGAATAAAGGTCAAATAAATATAAATTTCTATGACAAAATGAGGGTGTGAAAAATAATAGTGTATCTCGAGGGGTTGAACAATATTGAGTAACTGATTTTAAATATTCTTACAAAATGTTATAATTTATATTAGTGATTTTTTAGGCAATAGATTGTTAGTGGTTTGATAGCATAAATTAAACGTAACTATTATTGTTATTAACAATACTTAAAGTAATTCAACGTTGATTTCACTTATTAAATGCACTGCGTATACGTTTCACACCACGCATTGTATAGTCAATATAATTATTTACAAAAATTATTCATTTTTAAGTTTATTATATTGAGAGATCGACACCAATATTTTTTAAAGATTCTTCTGGCCTGTCCAAAATAAGATTCAAAAATATTTATATCTATGTAGAAATTTTCCAAGGCGCTACTATGGAGCCCAATGTGTCGCGGGAAAAGATACGATACAACAATCACTAAGACAAAAAGTAACACTAAAAATATATCTGTCAGTTTTCCTGTGATGTTTGCCGGTGTAATATTCTTAATTCAAAATAAATCAAATTAAAATAAGAATTTAATTCCTGGTTAGCTACCCAATAAGTATAGGCTTACAATGATATTCTAACCTAACATACTATTCAGTTACAACTTATACTTTTGTCTACCTTAAAAAAAAACAATTTTGTATAGGTTCATCTATTTAAAAAAAGTTATAACACTTTTAAGAAAAAAAAGTTGAACTCCAAAAATTCCAAGTTTCAAACATATGTTAACCTAAACCTTATGTTAAGTACTAACATTTATTAAAATATATTGTCTCTATATTGAATCCACCCCGAACTTAAAAAAAGAAATGTTATTTTGGTGTAAAAAACATTGTTTTTCGTGTTGTTAATACAAATGTTAACACGTGTTGTAATTTTTTTTTTCAATTATTTGCGCTTATATTTTAGGTCAAACGGTATAGTTATAGATGTAGCCTGGGTTATGTACCCTATGTAACCTATTTAACATGTATTTGATTCATAAAATAATAATTAACTAACAAGGGTCAGATTATTGATGAAAGTTAACAATCTTCCTTTTTTTTTGATAAACCCATACTTACATTTTTGATAGACGTTTGTTATAATAGTAACGAAACATACAACTATTTTATAATTTTTATAAATACTCCGTAAAAAATACAATATTTAACTTTTGAATATCAATTTCATACTGAATTTAATTATTATAATATGTATTTATATATGCAGTATACTTATAAATCATAAATCTTATAATTAGGATATAATTAAGAAAATAGAAATTGATGTTGCAATAATCCAACAATTATTTCTAAAAATTAAATACTATCTATAGATTTGTATTGAAATGTTTTTTATGATGGTGATTTTAATTATTGTGAGATTTCATCTATACTTGTCCAAGTTATACCGCGTCCTCACTGTGCTGTTATTTAAAATGTGCGTATGGAACATTCTTATTTAAATATGCAACAAATGAATTTTTAGTGATTTATAGATTTTAAATTAACAAAATATGAAAATTTTTAGAGTTATAAGATATATTTGTCTGTAATAATTTTACATTGAATAAATTAATAATTAAATTTTATAATAATACATAAATTACTAGAAATGACAAATGTTGGGAAAAAACTTGATATGATTAAATAGTAAAATATCGATAACAAAATGGCTGTTGATCATAATAAGTGTACGTCATAATCCTTTTGTTGTGATGTGGCTAGTGGCCTAATTATGACTTCGAAAAGGATGAGAGGGAGTATCATTTAATCGTTTACTGTAACTGTTGATTGTAAGAACTAATGTTAATATAGAGGGGGGGTGTCGTATGAACTATGCGGCAGTAGCAGCGGCAATTCAATCGGCGTGTATGCCATCGAGGTCGCGTAACAACTCAACAACTGGTATCGATAGTGCGCCCGGGTAGTCGCACGCTATACACGCGTTCGTACGGTTGTGTTCTGTAGTACAGTCGTCGTTCTATTTAATAAGTTACGATTGAGGTATTCCACGAGCGTCTTTAGTATTTCAATTTTCGATATTTAGTTTTTGTGTAAATAACGGTACTCCAATAGTATACAATGAAGGTCATATTTTATTTTTATTATCCATTTGTGCTTGTTCGGTGACAAAATTTGTCGGTTTAATAATAAATTCTGTGCGTTTTAAACTATTTGAACGGCAGTGGATGAACGAATGATCTCGTTGAATACTGTATTATGAATTCGCCACAAATGTACGATACTACTTCTCAAACTCACTCTCATCAAACTCATCACCAGCTTACCCAACAGGAGTTGATGGCAGCTAAAAAAGCACAACTTGGTCAACTTAAAAACAGGTATGATATATCAGAATTATCTACACCTGAAATATCGCTAGATCTTCAAAATTTAATCGACGACAGTCAGTTTAGCGAAGGACTATTTACAGAGATCCTTCAACAAGGCCAAGTAAAATTGCCAAATGGATCCACTCGTAATGGAGTAAATCAAAATGGATTTAATGCTCGGACCACATTAGCATATATGCCCCAGCCTGTTCATTACGAAAGTACCCCAACTGCTACTGGAGGACCTATAAAAGAAGAACCTCCTGAAAATGTAGAGTTTCGTAATCAACAACAGCAACAATACCTTAGTAATGGTCAAGGTGGTGCATTTCAGTCACCTGTTTCTGGAGGTGGTAGTAATGGTTCACATTTAAAAGCCCATCATAACCATCATCGAAAGTCAAGCTCTGGTAGTAATAAGTCTGTAGACAAAAATACAGATGAATACAAAAGACGACGTGAACGAAACAATATTGCGGTTCGAAAAAGTCGAGAAAAAGCAAAAATTCGTAGTCGGGAAACTGAAGAAAAAGTTAAACTATTAGTTAAAGAAAACGAAAGATTACAAAAAAGGATAGAACTACTCAGTGAAGAATTAAATGTATTAAGATCACTTTTTACAAACGTAGGAGTATTACCTGAACATCTTCATAGGGAGCTTAATAAACATTTTGATGCCTATCCACATTTACAGTGAACATAAGGTAACTTCTAACAACTATAATTTCATAATAATAACCTAAATTTGCTATATCAACAAAGTCATAAAATAACGTTAAAAAAATAAGTATAAGTAAATGATTAAATAGTTCAATACAAATATTTAATAATTAAAAACTTTTCTGTAAAATATTCTAAATAATGAAAAAAACAAAAAAAAAAATTAAGTCAAGAAAAATGATTTTTAAAAGTAAAATATTGTTAATAAATACTTTTTGCAAAGTTTTCTAAAGGAATCTGAGAACAAATTATTAAATGGCACTTTTTATGCGACACTTTAATTGAATTTATATTAAAAAATATATTTTTATTCTTTAATATTTCATTTATAAAGGGATTGAATGTATTTTATTCATTTATTTTGTTGATATAATTTGTTTTAAGAGTTTATAATTAGATAATTATTTAGTACTATAACCACGTGTATAGTATGTTTATTTAAAAATGGAATATGTAATAATTTCAACAAAATTAAATATACTGATAGGCATTATCAATAAAAATATACTAGAATTTATGAAACATAAAATATTGTGCGACGTCAAATTTTGCCTTGACCTATAACTTAGAATAAGTAATATTCAAATATATATTATGTATAAAAATCATCAGTAGTAACTATTCAAAAAAATATGTACTATATATTTATATATAATATAAATATTAAATAAAAATTAAAAATATATAATAATGAATTTTGTGTTATAACTATTTAAAAAATAATTTTTCATATTTTGCGATTTCAAAAATTCCAAAAAAGTGTTAAGCTATAAATTAATTATTTTAAAATAATTTGATTATAATGAATAAAACTTGTTTATTTCAGTCTTTATTATTGCGTAATATGAGTTTTCAGTCTTCTAACAAATGAACTGTTTTTGTTAACTTTTTTAGATTTATTAAAATTTTTAAAACTAGTGTTTGAATATTTTTTTCATATTCTAAATACATGTTAATACTTTTGGAATGTATTTGTATTGTGTACAATTATTATGAGTGTTAAATACTTTTTAATGTAGTGTGCATTTAATAAAAATACGTATAATATTTTATGATATTTGATTGGGTTTGTTAAGAACTAAACTGCTAACAGACACTCAAAAGTATGAATTATACTTAATATCAATGCATGTTCTATTGATTAACTAAATTAACCACAATGTAAATGTATATCCAAATGTTAAAAGATTTTTTATACTACACAATATACAATTACCTGGTAGTTTTATCAGTTGTATTATTCAGTGAAGCATGCCTTTTTAACAAGACTCATTTTACATCTTGATTCATTTAAGTGATGAACAATTAATGAAGCGATATTTTTAAAATACAACCAAATATTATCATAAAAAATAAATAAATAATTTCAAATTTTGAATGAAATAAATTTGTAACTCTTTTATTATTTCTAAAATGTAGTATTTCTTAAATTTATAGGTTAAAATTGTTATCGAAAATTTATATTAGAAAAACAAGACTTATTTTTCACAACTAGTTCAATAAATATTTTAATGAATGATTTTATTTTTATTTTTTATGGAGAAAAACATTTTTTTTTTTTGTAAAAAAAAAGTATTTGTATTTAAATAATTCTCAATATTAGTATTCAAATACATAATACAAATACATTTTCAAAGTATTTTTAACAAGTTTGACTAATTTATTATCTGTTTTTTTAAGTTATACATTTAAATAGTACATTAAGTTATTTCCTACAATAGTCGCGGATACCTTGAACAAGTGCAGACCTTTGACACAACTTATAATACCAATATTAACAGTTTAAAGTTATATTTTTGATCTTTTAGGTATTTATATTTTATGAAATAATTTTCACAAACATAACATTTTTTTCTAAATGAATTCTGTGTTTCAATCATGAGATATTTAAAAAATAGTATTGAATTTAGTTAAAATTGATTCTACTGAAGAATTCAATGTCACATTTATATAACACCAAGATTTTTATTAAAACAATTTATGACTATATAAATGAAAAACAAAATAATCTTAGTGATTAAATTGAAATTTTTTGGCTCGTGTTTGGTTTTTCAATTATTAAATAAAAATTTCTTTTTTTTTTATCATTAAAATATGTCTCATAAATTAATTAAAAAAATATATTTCAACTTGGAAAGTATCAAAAAAAATTTTTACATTTGAACATCTGATTAATATTTTATTTTCTTAAACGAATTTTTTCAATTAGAACTATGAGGCTGCCTGAGGACTAATGTTTTCTAATATATAGCTTTACAACTAATAAACATAAATTTAGAAATAAAAACATAAATATAGAAAATTATATAATTTTTAGTAACATATAATTATTTTTCAGCATAATTGTCTCCTATGTCAATGTATGTTTTTAAAATTTTACTTGTTTTGAAAACTGTTTAAATACAATTGTTTGCCTTCAACAACTTATCTCAGTGTAACAACTTTTATACTGTAAAGATATTTTTTTATTTTAATTTATTTAATAAGAATTGATCATTCGGGACTAATATTGGTTTAGTTTTAAATTAATATTTTAATATAATTTTAATTTTAAATATTTTAATTTTTGTCATCTAAATCTTTATCAGTGCTGATTTAGTTATTGGTTCTAAATTTAAACAGTAAAATAGATGAAAAAGACCTTAAAATCTCAATCGCTTGTATAATATCATTCTTTATATGTTCTTGTCATAGCGAACCTACCCAACCATAATATTTAATTTTTAAAGTTGAGTTGGTGGTTTACAGGGGTAGAGAAATTGTGACCGCCCTGAGGTAATGCCTAATAATAGTTCCAGGGTGGTCTACATTAAATTGAATGGAGGACAGAAAGAAAAAAAGTAAATAGTGAAAAAAATTAAAAATTGAGAGGTTATGTCATAAGTAGTTTTCTGACTAAGGAATGTTGACTAAATACTTATATTTATATGTTTATTTTATTTTTAATAAATAATACATATTCATTTAAATATATTTTTAATTTTGAATAGTATTAGCTAAAAGTGATAAATTCTTTTAATATAATACGTACTAACAATATATTGACATAAAAGATAGTTATGTTGAAAAGTAATTATATGTAATTAAAGGTTATAACATTTTCTATAATTGTATATTTATTTCATTAATTTATTTTTATCAGTTGTGAAGTATCAGTTAAAAGGCAATACTTTAGGTTGGGTTTTCAGTCTGCCTTCATAAATTATTATTAATAAAATGTTCAGTATAGTTAATATATTAAAATAAATTTATAGGGTCTTTAAAATTTTTGAGTGACAGTGACTAAGTACTCAAGCTATTCTTCTATTTATACTTAATAATATAATTTTTTTTAATTTAAATGATATCATTTGAAAATATACATTCATCTAAAATATTTATATTATTTTATTAAAGTTGAAAATATAATATTTTTAATTCTGCTTAGAAAATTATTTCGAATATAGTAAAATATAACTAATAACATATAACAAATGGGATACATATTTATAACAAATTAAAAAATCGCTTTGGTTTAAACATTTTATCATTTAACTGAGAAAATGTTTTCTTTTATTAGACAAAACCTTTTTAAGTTTCTGATTAACAAATTAATTTTAAGATAAAAGAATTTTCATTTATCATTTATAAATGTTACAAAATTTTATAGTTGCATGTTTTTAATTTATTTTTCAGGTTTCAAAATCAGAAATATATTGTAGTTGATACCAGTTCAGTTATAAAAAACCTTCTCAAAATAACTTTTATTTTTGTTATCTGTTAATTTAGTTTTATATATATTTAGTATTAGGTATGTTTTTTTTCACAGTTTTTAAAAACAAAAATTTAGGTCTTAAAATTTGATGACGAAAAATATTTTAATTGTCGTCAAATATGTAAATAATAATAACAATAATACCAAAAATTAATAATTTCATGAGTTCACAGCAGATTCAGCCTAATCGATGGTAAATATTTTTTGTCGTTTTTTTTAATTAGTCAAATGACTTTTGTTAAGTTGACTGTGCATTGGTGAATTATACATAATATTTTTACATAACAGTATTTTAAAATATTTGTTTTTACTAACTTCTATTTTATATTAATAGTATTTCTTTCATATTTTTAATATTATTTAAAATACCCATTATTAAAAATTTACTAGTTAAATTTTTAAAGATAAATAAGATTTTGTAAGAATAAGAAAAAATATTTATACTTTTTTTTTGGTACAAATTTTTTATAGTATATATTTTTTACTCATTTTTTTATAGCTATTTGAAACTTAAGCCATAAGTGTTCAAATAATAAAAATATACCAAATTAGTTAAACATTTGACTTTTTTAAAACTTTGTTACCGTTACTTAAACCATAAAATATATTACTCATACCGTGCATATAAACATCTAGATTATAAGAGCAGTAAAATTTAAATTACTTGAGGTTTAATAATATTTATTAATATATTTTTATCAAAAACAAAAAAGAGAAACTTAATATTATTGTGTAAATAGTAATTTGTTATCCTTATGTTACACACAAGTATATGGACTAAGTTTATATTTTTAAAAAAGAAAATACTGTGATGTCTAAGTGCCTATTCTCATAATCGTCATTTCAAATTCACAAAATAAAATAAGATTCTTAAGTTACCCATGTTAAACAATATAGATTTATTGAAGGAGACCGGCAAGCCAAATTAATTATTAAATAAAAATAAAATTAGTTACCCAATAATAATTCCTAATTTAATATTGGTTTAATGTTACCCGTTAAAAATAAAGTCAAGCTTAAATTTAATTTTAAGTTTAAAATTAATGTAATGTTATGTAAAACAATACTATAATTTTTGTTTTATTATATTTTTATACGATCAAAGAAAATAATTTTGTTTTTCGTACTAAATTCTTTAAAAGATATTTTTATACTTAATAATATGAATTCTTCTACTATAATTATTGTTGTAAGTTAAACATTTTAAACTGCCTTCGACTTACCTGTGTAAAATAATATGTTCATAATTAGTATTAAACACATATTCCACTATTTAAGAGTGGTTTTCAACGTTTTGTTTGATTGTTTTTTTTTTTTTTACATTTTTAGTAGATTTTCTAGTCTAAAGTTTAATTTTAATTTTTAAGGTATTAATATTTTAGTTGTTTAAATTTTAAAAGTAATTAAGTTGAGGATAAATTTTTTATTTTATTTATTTGTATAGGTAATTAAATTACTATATTAAATATTAAGTACAATGTTAATTTTATTATTATTATTATGTTATGGTTTAAAATATTATATTATTCTTCGTTTTACTATTTTTCGTTATCAATTAATAAAAAAAATATGAATTATTCTTATAATTTATGTTATAAACATGTTAATTAAACGAAAAACAATTCATTGTTACAATCATTAAAAATTTACCTATTATTGAAAAAATCATAAAATATGTTGTTATTAACTATTCAGTGTTCGGAGTTAAAGAAAGTATTCTTTACCAATGTTTGTCAATAAATCTTAGCTTATAATTAATATTTTATAAAACCCAAGTCAAAATTATTATATTTATTATTTTTAATTTCACTAAGTTATTTTAATTTTTAATGTGTTTTAATTTTATGGATCTCTAAAGTAGTTATAAAACCCAAAATAAAATTATATTTTAATACTTTTAACATACAATTATAATATATATTTTTTTAATCAGTTTATAAAATTTTGATTTTTATATTTAACTATAATTTTTTGTTAATACATTATTCTATATTAATAAAGTTTTGTTATAAATACTATAGAATGGCTAATACTAATTCATAAACACAATTCTAAATAGTTAAATAAATATACAGTAAAGTTCTCGCAGCAAGCTCATGAATTGTGTAATATTTTTACAGATAAAATACGTTTGGCATTGAAAACAAGGCATGAGTATTAAAATAAAATCGCCGACGATTCTTGAAAAATTTGATAAGATTAATAAGCAATAATTAATTGCGTATATTATATTTACAGTACTTGTAAGGCTAATATTGTTTTCTATAAATTGTATTTTCTTACGATAAATTGAAGAATATACTATTATTGAAACCAATTAAGAAGATTAAACATATAACCCAATTTTACAAACCTCTAAACTTACACAAAGTCTTGAACAAATATCAGAAAGAAAGATTGCGTTATGTTGCATTTGTAATAAACATCGTTCTATTGAATTTATATTAAATATATCTTTAAATATTAGGTTTAAATGTTTATTTTGTACATGTCAATGGTTTAAAAAACTTAGTAACTGTTTTTTGAACTAAAGTGATACAGAAGTTCGAAATTCTCACCTAAAATTATTTTGAATATTTTTATTCATTTTTACATTCATCTTCCGGTTATCAACCAAAAATTTTTTGAGCTAATTCGATAAATTGACATTTACAGGGAAATTAAATGCAATGGTTTTCTATTTTCTTTTGAACTAAAGTATAAAACTTTTCTTCTTATATCTACTTCGATGTAGTTACTCATTTAAAAATCTAATATTTATAATGGCGTTTTTTATAATAATTATCATTGTTCATAAATATTAAAACTGGGTTTATTGATTTTATGTACCATATTCGCTATATCAATACATTAACACGCTGTTAATAAATACTATTCGTTATAGTTATAAACAGTATTAGTTATATTTATAAATATTAAATAAAAAATTATTTTACTAACAAATAAAAGTTTCCAAAAAATAATGAAATATACTAGTTTCCTCTGGTAATATGAAATAAAATAAATAAATTGATTTGAAACAAATATTGAGTTTTTGTGCTACAATCTTAAACGTATATCTGACGTTATACATGTACAGGAACATCTCGTTTATTGATTATATAACTTATTATTATTCAATAAAAATATTAAGGAAACTATTATTTTCCTAGTATAAAATATTGTTAGCTTAAATGATGTATTAAATTTTGTTAGGTGTTCAATTCGATCTTCAATTGCTCGCGTTATTGATTCAACAAATATAACTAATTCTTGTGAATCCTTAATTGAAAATTCGATGGTTCTTTGCCTTATCTGTTCTTGGGTTATATCTTTTTAGCGTATTAGTAGGTATAAAATATTTATTGAGCCTAAAATACAGCTGAAAAATAAATATGCTGTAAGTATTACTATAACTATACATAATGTTTTATTTTTTCATACTTTCTAGTATTTGAGTATTTTTCTTACTATATCCAACTAATTTCTTAGCGTTTTTATCTTTAATATCATTAATTTTTTTTTTCGCAATTTTCTAGTGTCTTATTTTTTCTCAAAAACTACCTCAATTTCTAAGTCAACCTAAAAATAATTATTTTAAAATAAAATATCGATATATACTTTGAAGTACAATTCAAAATTTACCAGGTAAAAGCCACTTTGATTCCTTATATGCTTATACGATTGTCGAAAATTTTTTCTTTCTTTTATTAAGTTTTTTATACAAACCGAAATGTGACTAAAAATATACCTAACATGTTCAATCATATTCTTCAACGGCTAAGTTGTCGTATTTAAGTGCTTTTACACAAACGTAATCTGAAAAATCAAAAAATTTGAATAAAAAAATTTAGCTTTTTAAGTTTACTTTTGGTTCTAAAAAATATTGCATACAGTTTTACAGTTAACAATTATTTTACATGCAGTGTAACAAGATAATATATTGTGTATTTAAGTTAAAATACAATACTTAAATTGAAGGGAAGACTGTACACATATATGTAAAAGCTCATTCTATATAAAAAAGAAGCTTCAAGATTTTTTATAATAAAAATGACTACAAATATTATACATTATGTAATATGATTGTGTTACTTAAGCAGTTTTACTTACACGAGTTACATGATCTGCTAGTTCCTTATTAATATCCTGATTAAGATAAAGTATGTCGAATGAAAAAGGGATTATTAAAAAATATTATTTCTCATAAAAAAATTGTGTTGATCCATACACTTTTCAATAAGTTATAGCATTATAAAATTAAAAATGTAAAAAACAAAATCGAGAATTTTCACACAAAAATAGCATTCACTAGCCATTATCACCGTGAAGATAATATAAAGTCCGAAATTTTTTTTTTCATGATAAAGCATATTACATTAGCTTTAATTTAAGATATATATAAAAGAGTCAGACTTTCCGGAACACTTTCAAAAGTTAAGTTGAAAAAGTTGTCATTTTAAATTCCTCCTTGTAGGCAGGTAAAGGATCAGATTTATAAAAAAATATACCAAAAGAAAGGTAAAGACATCATGCATCTATAAAAAAAGTTATATTGATATAGTCATTATTGAAAAAGTTATAACAGTTTTAAGTAAAAAAAAAAAATAAAAAATGTCGAAAATTAGCGATTTTTAAATTTTTAATTTTTTTGGAGATTCCCCTTTTACGGGGAACGAGGGAAATTTTATAATTTTTGAAGATAATGTCTACGGCTAGATACGGATTTGTGATATTTTAACGTATCGTTGAAAGAAATCAGTTCGGTGAGAGCTGAGAAAAAGTGGTAACGGACATATCATAGTAAAATTAATGCCTTCTCAGCTTTGCATCGAAGCTAAAAAATGGTTGTTATATTAATAAACGTGGTTTCATAATATTAGTAAAAAAGTTAATAAAGTCATTAAATTTTGTTATTCTTGGTGAATAAACACCGTTTATTAATGTATGAGCGAGTTTTTTTCAATGTGAAGCCAAGTTTCTTTTAAACACTAGTAATATAAGAACTAATTCATAAAAAATTATAAACAAATATTTAATGACAATAAAATTAAAATTTCACACAAAAACTAGAAAAAACTTTTTTTTAATAACGTGACAATTTTTCAAAGTACAACAATAATTAAAACATTTTTCTATTATTTAATCATTAAGTTTTTATAAAAAATTTAATTGGTTATAAATTATAGTTTTCAGATGTTCGAAATATTTTCAAAAATTATACTAAAATTTTTTTTAAAAAACTTCCTGTATTAAGGTTTTTATAATAAATATATCAAAAGAAAGATTATTATTTATAATATGTAAGATCAAAATGTTAATTTAAAATTCAATTTTTAAGAAAATTACAGCAATTTTAAAATGTAGAAAGAAATCTCAATTAGCCATTTTTGAGAGGTACTTAATTTTGATATATTTGTTGAAATATATAAATTCAATAGTCATTTTTCAATTTTTAGAGGTAATAGATCCAATTTTATTAAATTTGAGTTTTTTAATTACATAAACAATAAGATCGGTCCAGGAATAGCTGAGAAGTTTCATATATATACATAAAAATAAAACACATAAGTTTTCAGTGTTCCATTGAGTCTAAAATTCTCCGGTGCGAAAGTGCTAGAAAAAAGTTTGATGAATCTTTAATCATTATTATCCTATATATACCTGTATTATAATTGTTATATTATCATTTTATGGGATTAAAACTAATTGGTTCTATGTCAGCAAGTAATTTATATCTAATTAACAAAAATATATTTTTTCCAAGATTTTTGGGTTTCCAAAATCATTTTTACTTTCTAAAAGTTATTAGGCATCACAAAATTTGCCATCGAAAATAAAACTTATTATACCTTTTAATTTGAATTTCTATGTTAAAAATTAATTTTATTACTAGATGTGCCGACCACAAATTATTCAATAACAGTTATCAATTTTCTGGTTAAATAATTTTTATAATAAATTAAAAATTATGGTTTCAGATTATTAGCATAATTTTTAAGGAAAAAAAATTGTCCGGAAATAACTAAATTGAAAAAAATAATTTGTAACTTGAAACGATGTATGTATTCAGCGTATTGTTGAAATTTGTCGAGCTATATAGATTTTTTTTAAGAAAAAATGTGTGAAGGTAAAAAAGGTAAAAGCAACACCTAAACTATTTTTGCGCCTCGATGTATAACTATTAAAATATCCTACTCAGCATATCTATAAAAAACAAGTCAGTTAATACAACACATTCTTAACATAAATATCAATACAATTCTGATATTACATATTTTTTGCATCACTAATTGCGGATTTATTACCGCCCTCTATATCCACCTACATAACCTATCAAGTTTTTATTTTTACTTCTTAATATAAATGTAGGTCATACGTTTCCATAAATTAACACTATTATAATCTTAACATATTCCTATCGATTTGATAAATTTGTATTATTTTAACAATTTAGAGGCCTTTTCGAGGATCTCTTTATTATCGTACTCTGAACTGCACTTATGAATTAAAGTTGTATTGGATATAAATCAGCAGGTCTAATTATCAATTTATTCTGATAATTAAAAAAGAATGGATTTATGTGTGAAACTTTGAAATGAAAAAATAAATAAGTGATAAAAGTATATGTTATTGTAAACTGGTTTACATATGCACATACCAGATATGGTATACAGAGTGGTACAAGATATTTTGAAAATCTAATAATTTTTGATTTACTGAATACTTTGCTTAATTTTTTTTTAAATTTATACTTTAGATCTTTTAAAATGTCATTAGAAATAATATTTATTCAATTTATTAATTTTTTTTATATTGTAAAAAAATATATTTAAAAAAATCAATATAGCTATTTTTAGAGTACATTTAAAAAAAGGTAAAAATTTCTTATTTGTGTTTAGTTATGAATTCTCTGTAATATATTACAGTTTGTAAAAATTCGAATTTTTATGTATTTATTTTACGGAATTAAGCATTGAAATTTGCATTGTAAAAAATACATAAGACAATGTATTCTTTTCATACTAGTTTTTGGGTTTATAGCTATGTAACTTTTTCCATTAAAATTCAATAACTGTAATCTATATTTAATATGATAATATGCTTTACTATTATACTTTTTATATTTACATTAGATGACCTGCTTTTCATACTGTAAAAAAAAACATAGAAAAATTCAACTGTTTAAAAACTTTAAAATTTTATAGAAATTGAATTACAAAACTATAATATGGTTTACTTAATGGTAATGACATTATGTCCAATTTTAAACAGACTATTTAAGGATTTTCGTATCAAATACACTTTTCATAACTATAAACAGATATTCTTATTAACCCAATAGTACTTGCAGTGTATTTATAACTAGAAAATATCTTAGTAAATCTACTTGTTTTTGATAACCTTTTTTTTTTGACGTGTAATTACAGATAGTCACAATTTTATTACCTAATGAAAAGTCCTTAGTGGCCACTATAGGTTAGTAATACAAAGGTATTAGCCAATTTTTCCGTTAATTTGCCACCACAGTATATACATATACAGGATTATTAATTTGTCGTTGTCCACTAAATTTCTCTTAAAATATTAATAATAATAATTTAAAACAAAAATTTTAGATTTTGTTTATTTATTTTTCGATTTTGAGTGATAAATATTTTGTAGGTATATCCCTTATCCTTAATAAAGATATCAAATTAATTTTTTTAAATGGCAACATTCATATATAATTAATGTACACAATACATAATGATCCAACTAAGCAAATAACTTCGATAACAACTTTTGAACCAGTAGTTCAGAAGTTATTATATCTTAGTGGGAGAAACAGTACGGTGGAATAATGCGTAATGATAAATATAACTTAACCTACACCTCGTTTCAGACAATATTTAAGTCCTTATTATCCGTATCTACATTACTAGACAAATTCAAAACTTTTAGCTTCGATGGGAAGCTGAGAAAGTATTAATTTTACTATGGTGTGTTTTTTTTTTTTTTTTTTTTTTTTTTTT